ACGATTTTCCTGCTTTTCCATTTTTACGAAAACCACAGAGGCGTCTTGTTCAGCGTGCTGTCAAACCTACACTAGCAAGGAGATCGGGCTGAAACTATAGCTACAAGCTATCCAAGGATGGTACTATAGAATGTCACCTCAAGGTAGGCCTAGTGGCGTCATCTCTTGGTTAGGCCGGAAACTTATCAATCCACCCTCGTATTCCTTTAAATATCGTGTTTATTGCAAATGGAACGACTTTACTGTCATAAATTTTTATGTAAGAAAACACAATTTTGATATTGGAAAAGTAACTTTATGTATATTAGAAAAGGTATAAAAAATAATTTTGGAACGTAAAAATTAAACTAGCATGCGTGCCTTTAACCATTTTCCGAATGTTCAGTGAAGAAAAGGTTAAAAACAACCTACTTCTGTCTTTGACAAAACTGCTGTAGGTGCATGCAAATGGACAATAATTCATTAAAGACGGAAGGTAAAAATTTAGTTATCTATTATTTCAGTCAAACTTCAATAAAAAACTCAGTAGGCATTAATATTAATACTAATTAGAAAATAAAATAAAACCAATAAGAACCATTAAGTGGATAGTGATTTCGAACTTGTTGGGTCTCATCAGCACGCCACATTAATAGTTTCGATAAATTTTTGACCAAGCCGAAGTTACATGATATTTTTACAATTCTGAACAGTACATTATCATCTGCTTATATTTGTATTAGACAAAGACCTTATTATGTACCAAGATATTAATAGATAAGGATTATCTTGGTCAGTAAAGAGGCACACATCGATTGTATGTTTATATAAAACAGATGTCTATGAATTGGATAAGGTTCGACCGTTTATCCGACATCAAATCAGAATTATATAGGCCATTAACGTTTCTGCCGGAAATTTGAGAAGATGGAGGATGAAATTAGATGGAAGGGACGGACGGGAGTGGTCCCACCGATTGCAGGATCGTTTTTCCTTTCTCGTCGAAAAGCCTCCCTCTGTCGGACGTCTATCTATTTTAATATTTGAGAAAGTGCCTGCTGATAAGGAAGCTTAATTGCCATGAGATCGCAAAAAGGCTGCAACTTTTTACATTAGGGGATCAGAGGAAGCGCAACTAGATTAGAGGGAAGGTTGGTGTCGAAATTGAACGACTTAATGTCGATGGGAGCTAGATTAGTTTCGACCCTTTTTCAAATATCTTCAACTAAAAGTTAACGTCGCGTTTTCGGAGCATCGGAAAACTTTCTGCAAACCGACAAAAGTGTCGAGTAAAAACTATTAACATTGAATTTATAACAACTAACCGAGAAAACTTTGCAAATTATGTACATAAAGGTTATAAAATATTAGGCGATTAAATTTAATCGTTAATTTAGCAAACGCGAATACGTATGCACACAGCTTCAATTAATTTTTTGTAGGTCTTCAGTTTGATAATAAGTTACGATATTATTTGAAAATATTCTGAGTAGTCATGAGAAAAATTAATCTTGGTTTTCGGCCTTAGTCTTATCTTGTCTTAGTCTTGCATATTTAGCAAGACCTGAGACTTATCTATCTTCGCACGACCAAAACCAGGATTAAATGAACAAGACTAAATCCAAAATAAAAAGTAATGTTCATTAATAGAAAGATGCTCACAAATGAAATAAATTAATTAGATTTTTATGTAAATAAATATAATCAAATTGCGTTAGGATTTAGAATTTATTTTTATTGCTATAGTGGGTTTGTAATACAGAATTGAATAACAATAGTTTCAATAATGTCCTCAAATAAACACAAAAAAAAATGAAGTCCAAAATGCACTATCAAAAAGAAAAACCAAGGCTGTATTGGTTTCGTCTAGGTCTTATTTTTGCTCGTCTGAGAGAGCTATTAAAATATGTTTACAATTTCATCGCATAGAATTTTTAACTGGCCCCAGTATTATAGATTATACCTCATACCTAAACTCTGAGCCGTCTAAAGTCGCGGCTGAAGTAATAAAACATCTAGAAGATTTAAGATTTATTTTGCCGAATAGGTAATACCCGCAGAGATAAGAAGGACGGCCCTGGTTTTATTTAGTGACAATGTTAAGGGACAGTAACTCTTGTTGAGTTTATCTTTGTAGCTGAACTTCAGCAAAAATGTTTCGATACAACAGAGTAGTGGAATTCGATTAGATACACCCTTTTGAATGTTTTTAAACTATTTTAAGCTTTGTAGGAACAGGTACATAATAATATAAAACGAGTTTCGTTTGAATGGTGCCAGAAATTTTTAATTGCGCTTGGGCATGATCAAAAGCAGTCTATTGTTGACAGTTTTATTACATGAGCTTCAGATGGCTCAGAGTTTTTCAGGGATGTTATAAAGGTTCGTAACTGTATAAATTAATTGCTTTTTTCTACGATTGTTGTAATAATAATCTAGAAATAAGGTGAAATCATTATTTAGTTGCATTTTTCTTTTACAATTCCTTAAAAATCGAAAATGTGTTACTGAAACTATCGGATAATCCGAAATAATTTCATATTCATAATCGTATCTGAAATCGGTGTAATATTATTCATATGTACATATGTCCCCATCCATGTCCAGATCCGAAATTTCATATCCACAACATTACTGAAATTGTATTTCACCTGAAACTTGTTGGATCACACATCCGAAATTCGGAGTTAGTCATATTTCAAGTTGACATTCGTATTAATTTCAATAAATACGTTCAGACCCAACTTATATATGTATATTACACATCCTTTAGTTGACCTTTATTCCTCTGATTTAATTATTTATTGTTTTATTCACAGAAAAGTGTTTGCTGTAATTTTAAACATTTGAAAATTAATTCAATGCCAGTTCATGAGCCGCCACTGTTATAATTCTCAATTCGGTTGTAGGTATTCATACATGTATGTACATAAGTATACGCCCAGTAAAGAGCAAACTTTGAGATTGATTGTAAACATGCCGAAAACATAAGCTGCAGTAGTAAATTCAGTGAGTTGCTACCCCTCACGAAATGAGGGAGGGTGAACTTATCTGTTAATTAATCTAAAGAGCAGGGATATCCAAATTCAGCCCTTAGTTTTTGTTTATTTACCAACTGAATCGGCTCTTGTATAAAAGAAATCAATGTGCTGCTGCTTTTCGGGCTTATTTCAGCGGGTGCTTTGTTTTTAAGCAATCTGTATCGGTGGAAAATGTTTTCCCGTTCCCATTTAGGCCCATTTACCATTTGCAGATTGTTTATTTAGATTAAAATTAATTAGAACAAGTAAAATAACCGGAAAGGGAAATTAAAACCCTATCGGGAAAAGTTTATTTAACTTAATGATTGAAAATACCGTAAATATTTGATATTTTACGCATTATTTAATTAAATCTAGAGCCAAGTTGAAGGCAACGAACACTTTATTAACACAGTCAATATTATATGCGTTTCGCCCTCTTGTTGTGAGGTTTCTTCAAATATTAAAACGTTGTTAAAAAAAAATGAAAGAACAAACTTTTCAGTTACTGGTCAACTTTAATGTTGGTTTTGGTGAATACGTTAAAAAAAGCAGCATTAATGTGAGGTCGTATTTGTATGTAGCAAAATGAATTTTAGAAATGTTTTTAATTGCAAATTTGTAAAAACTTCTTCACTGATATTCATTTTTAACAATCTCTTTTTATTGAAAAATTCTATGGAGTTGGCCTTTACTATATGAAAGTTGATCATATTGACTTTTCTTTTGAAATAACACCTTCTTCCGAAGATGACCTTGTAGGTTGAAACGAATTTGTCAAGATTCAATATAAATATATTTAGTGAATGTTATTTTTCAATTGTTTATTTCAAAAGAAAAATCAATCTCTTTTTAATTGCAAAAACTACAGCGAAATTTAATTATTACTTACATAGAACCGACGTAAAGGGAATCACTGTCTTCATCTGCGTAAAAAGTGCGATAGTAAAGCTTTCCACAACTAAATTCTCGTACGTGATCTAAAAATAACAAGAACAAAATTAATCGCACATAAATCATGTCAATTTCTGGTAATACGATTCTAATAATAATTATCGTAATCGTAATTATCATCATCATCATCATCATCATGTCATCAGTCCTAAGACTGGTTGGACACGTACCTCCACTCTTTCCTATCCTNGACTTTACTGTCATAAATTTTTATGTAAGAAAACACAATTTTGATATTGGAAAAGTAACTTTATGTATATTAGAAAAGGTATAAAAAATAATTTTGGAACGTAAAAATTAAACTAGCATGCGTGCCTTTAACCATTTTCCGAATGTTCAGTGAAGAAAAGGTTAAAAACAACCTACTTCTGTCTTTGACAAAACTGCTGTAGGTGCATGCAAATGGACAATAATTCATTAAAGACGGAAGGTAAAAATTTAGTTATCTATTATTTCAGTCAAACTTCAATAAAAAACTCAGTAGGCATTAATATTAATACTAATTAGAAAATAAAATAAAACCAATAAGAACCATTAAGTGGATAGTGATTTCGAACTTGTTGGGTCTCATCAGCACGCCACATTAATAGTTTCGATAAATTTTTGACCAAGCCGAAGTTACATGATATTTTTACAATTCTGAACAGTACATTATCATCTGCTTATATTTGTATTAGACAAAGACCTTATTATGTACCAAGATATTAATAGATAAGGATTATCTTGGTCAGTAAAGAGGCACACATCGATTGTATGTTTATATAAAACAGATGTCTATGAATTGGATAAGGTTCGACCGTTTATCCGACATCAAATCAGAATTATATAGGCCATTAACGTTTCTGCCGGAAATTTGAGAAGATGGAGGATGAAATTAGATGGAAGGGACGGACGGGAGTGGTCCCACCGATTGCAGGATCGTTTTTCCTTTCTCGTCGAAAAGCCTCCCTCTGTCGGACGTCTATCTATTTTAATATTTGAGAAAGTGCCTGCTGATAAGGAAGCTTAATTGCCATGAGATCGCAAAAAGGCTGCAACTTTTTACATTAGGGGATCAGAGGAAGCGCAACTAGATTAGAGGGAAGGTTGGTGTCGAAATTGAACGACTTAATGTCGATGGGAGCTAGATTAGTTTCGACCCTTTTTCAAATATCTTCAACTAAAAGTTAACGTCGCGTTTTCGGAGCATCGGAAAACTTTCTGCAAACCGACAAAAGTGTCGAGTAAAAACTATTAACATTGAATTTATAACAACTAACCGAGAAAACTTTGCAAATTATGTACATAAAGGTTATAAAATATTAGGCGATTAAATTTAATCCAAGACCAAATTCTTGTACCTTTCTCCATAAACACTAATCAATGAGGAAGTTGCTTCCATTAATTAAGAGAAAAACGTCCCGACCACCGTACACAAGTAGTACTTCACGGTTTTTAGATGAAATAATAGATACCTATTGGTGTAGAGGTGTACGCAAGTGGGACGAAAAGTTTCTTGTACGCAAATGGGACATACTGCACATATTCCTTTAAATATCGTGTTTATTGCAAATGGAACGACTTTACTGTCATAAATTTTTATGTAAGAAAACACAATTTTGATATTGGAAAAGTAACTTTATGTACGAGGGTGGATTGATAAGTTTCCGGCCTGACCAAGAAAAACAAGGTTTTTAAAAATTTTTTTTTTTATTTCTCAACATAATCTCCAAGGCTGATACATTTCTCATAGCGGTGTTCCAGTCTATTAATGCCATCTCTATAGACTGATTCGTCAAGCTCCTCAAAATAACCATTTACAGCTTCGTCGATTACTTCTTTGTCCGCAAATCTCTTACCGCCAAGCCATTTTTTGAGATTAGGGAACAGAAAATAGTC